CATCAATCATCAAGATTTTCTTCATTTTACGATAATTTAAATTATCTAATTCCCGGACAGCAGCTTTTGTTCTCTGTATCAAATCTATTAAAACTTGAGGAGAACGTGATCTGGTGACAAATGGATGCTGTAAAATTGAAAGCCTATAAGAGAACAACTAGACTACTATTAAACATACGTGTATAATATTATTAAAAAAAAAAAAGATATAAAATATATATATAAAGCATCATTGTGTTGATATATATATATATATATAAAGACAACTCACTGATAACAGTTTTCCGGATGTCAATCTTTCAATTGGACTTTTTGTAAGACACACCTCAACAAAATGACGAAAGACATCAGTCCAATCTGGTGAATTTAACGTTGGAGTATCATTCTGTGCAATATGATACAAAGCGCTCATAGCGTTCATATTAAAATAAGGCGGTTTTCTTTCCGCTGTAATTAATAATGTATCACTAATTAAATTTTATATGTCTAAAGTAAAATAAATAATAATAATAATTAGGATAAATTAGGATAAAAAGTTTAATAAAGTGAAATAGTTAAAATGTGTAAATTATAAATTAGAAAGCTTAGGAAAATCATACTGATATCTTATAATTCAAATAATCAATATAATATTTTGTTGCTTGGATATAAATGTTACACATGTAAAATAATTGAGCAATTAATAATAGTAATATTCAAATTATTAATATACAACAAATATTAATCTGTTAATTCTAGAGAGTTTTACATAATCAATATATTAAATTATAAATATATACCTAATTCGATGCATGTTATTCCTAATGACCATACATCAACTTTGCCATCATATTGCCCTTCATCCATAGCCAATATAACTTCTGGTGCCATCCAATATGGAGTCCCTACAAAGCTGTTGGCTGGACATTTTATACTTGCGGATCCAAAATCAGCTAATTTCACTGTACCATTTTCAGTAAGTAGAATATTTCCTGCTTTCACATCACGATGGATTCTACCAAGATTGTGCAGATAATTCAAGCCACGTAATACACCATCACATATTGCAGCTATCTCTTCTTCTTTAAGAGGTCTTTTGTGTACTTCAATAATATCTGATGCAGAGCCAAGACAATATTCCATCACCAACTATAAAAAATAATATATGCAAAAACTTTACAATGTCTTTAAAATGTCAATTTTACAGATTTAAAATTAGACAAATTTTTTTTGACTAAAAAAAGAAATGAAATCTCATACATACCCAGGCAGTGTGGTCCCTGAGATAGCAACCCTTATACTCTATAGTGTTAGGATGATTAAGTTGCCTAAGAAATCGAATTTCCTTCAAAATATCCTGCCATTTTTCCACCGTTTGCTTTCCCAAGTAGGACATCTTCTTGATGGCAACAATTTCTTTGGTAACCAGGCATCGTGCATAGTAAACAGCCCCGAAACTACCATGCCCGATCTCGCGCAGATCCTCAAATATTTTCTCCGGATCATTTTTCTCAAATAATTCGGCAATCTCTGGGTCCTTCAAACTACCAGGCCTTGCAACAGCTGGCATAGTCGAGTTATTGATAATTAGATGCCCGAGGCCTAGTCCAGACACCTTGCTTTGTTGAATCGTCTTTAGATTCCTCGCCTGAACCTTCCAACTTTAATAGATCCTCTGTCAGTCCATTCCTGAATATAACATTCTATCTAGAAAAGAAATATATTTTCGATATAAACACATTAAAAATTGATTCAAACTAGAATTACACTAATGCATATATTGATAATAGAAAAAAAAAATATTGTTTCTTTTTACATTAAATGACAGTTTTAACCAATTGCTACATAAAGTACATAATTATTAGAAAATAGAATAATTCATATTCTTATATAAGATATTAAAAATAAGATTAAAGATAATTAATTCATAGAAATTGTTATAAAAATATATTAAACAAGAATTTACAACTTATTAATATTTCACTTTTCAGTAATTAAATATTTTGATAAATATGAAATTAAAATTCCACATGACAGGAAGCCACTTCAAATGAGATAAAAGATAATGTTTTGTCTATTTGTATTTCCAAAACTCAACAAGAAACAACTTTAACTGTTTATAACACGAAAATTATCAATGTCTTAGCATAAAAATTCTTTTTTTCATTCCAATTTTTAATAAGAAATATCTACATTCTTCTCAATATTATGTTTTATATTGCTTTTAAGTTGTATTAATCCTAGAACTGTAATTTTCATATATTATGTACTTATCAGAATTGACATTTTTTTGACATTTGTATTGAAAAGAAATTTTAAGTAACTTGATTTTAAAGTTTTTCACTTTGTCAATTTATAACATTGTTATGATTAATGAATTAATTATAAAGTATCATTGTGGATTATTCAGAGAAATCATTCAATGAAAAATCTTTAATCAATTTGAAGCAACTGCATTTTTTCTGCAAATTCCACCTATCAATATCTTCCGTACTTGTTAATTTTCAATAAACATTTTGACATGTATAAAATTAAGACTCTTTTATCGATAATTTTCTTAAAAACAATATCTCCCTATCCATTTACATCCACTCAAATTTTATTACACACAAATGACCCCCACAAATGATTTAAATCTTTTACAGTTATCGCTAATAAAGTTCCACTCGTCGAGCATTCTATCCGAGAGGAGACTGGGTTAAGACGTTTGCTCCCCGAATCGCAAAAAAAAAAAAAAATCGTTAATTTTTCACGCGAACATTAGAAGTCGCAGCACCTTCCGACCGGATGCACTTTACGAGTCTCGCCAAGTTTAACGCGACACAACGCACGAACCGCAAACACAACAACAAACATTTACGTTCGCAGCCCATTGTCCTGCTTTGTCGTCGTTTCTGTGTTTTTTTTTTCCTTTTCGTTCGCAGAGCGAGATCTAAAAGTGATCCCCCCGGTCGACGAGGGCGAGGAAAGAGAATACGTAACGACACCGCAGAAATAGGCACGTTCCCGTAGGAGCGACGAGAACCGCCGCAACTCTCGTCATTGTTATCGCGTTAGTCACATTACTCGCCAACGAGAAAGAAAGAGAGAGAGAAAGAGAGAGAGAGAGAGAGAGCGAGAAAAAGACCGACACCTAGTATGTACATCGAACGAGAGGAGATCCTGGACGCGGAGGAGGATCGCGATGATTTTGTCAAGTCGACCGTTATGCTGCGCGAAGAGGAGCATCGACTGCCTTATCGCACCGGAACCGAAACGGGGAAGAAGGAAGAGGCGAGGGGGGCAGGGGGAGGAGGAGGAGGAGGGGTCAAAATATTCGGCGAGACGCGTTTGGATGACGGGGGTGTACGTGCGAGATAATCGAGCGGCGCGGAAAGAATCCTTAAAAGAGAGATTAGGGGAACCGAGAGGCCACCTCGGGATATCCTCGAACGCGATGGAGCAGGCTTTACGGAGGAGGCTCGACGAAAACGACGAAAAGGTGGAATCGCTCGCGGGGGGGGGAGATGGAAAATGAAAAATGCGGGCATAAGAAGGATCGCGGTCCGGATCCGGACCCTCTCCCCCCTCCCCCCGCCCCGCGAGAGCGCGAGCGATACGCAGCGCTGCGCTGCGCTGCGATGCGCCGTGTTCCCGATGCGCTCCGTCAATACGCGAAAACACACAATCGCATTAGCGTGCGTCACGGCCGGGTCCGGCTGCTGGTGTGACATCGCGTCGCACGGTTAGCGACTCGCGGAACCTCCGAGCGGAAGGAAATTCGCGGGGAGGGCAGGGTCGATCGGTCGGCTAAAAAAGGGCCGAGAAAATCGTATTCACCTCGAAAATGGCGAGGGAGCGGGCGGGGAAGCATGCGCCTCGCAGGCTCCGTGCACTCTCTTCAGGCGGAGGAGAAGACGGCGACCAAGGAGGAGGAGCGAGAGGAGGAGCAGCGGCAGCTCTTTTTCCTGGCCGCCGATCCCGCGGGCATAATTAAACGCCCGTGCCCGTCCTCGACTCGCCGTCCTCGTCGCGCAGACCGCGCGCCGCGCCCCGGAACGATACGCGCCTCGTCGCCCTCGTCCTCGTCCTCGTCCTCGTCGTCGTCCTCGTCGCCGTCGCCGTGTCGTATACGCACGTCACGCACGCACCAACATGCACACACGCACACGCGCGAAACACTGGCCCGCGCGCGGGCGCGCTCTCTCTCCCGAGAGAGAGAGCGAGGAAGCGGTTCGGGCGACGACGAGCCGCTTCGCGGACGCGACCGACGCGGATTTCGTGCGCGGACCCAACGACGATCGCCCGAGGATCACCGTCCACGAGAACGTTTCCTCTTCTGCGCTTCACGTCCCCCGATCTCGCCCCGTTTTACACTTATATACCGTACACTGTACACACTACACCAGGCGCACACGAGAGCCGTCCGTCCGTCGCGATAGCGGTGGCGCTCTACGCCGGTCACGTTGCAAACTAGCCGCCTCGATACGCTCGCTCTTCCGTTCTCTTTGTCCTTCGTCCTTCCTCTCCTTCTTGTCCTCTCTCTCTTTCTACGTAGGGCTAGCCCAGAAACTTTTCGTTGCCGACCGATGGAAAGGACCTGAGGGTCTTTCGTTTTACTCCGTCGATAACGCGCGCCTCATCATTTTCTGCATTATCGACCGTCGTTCGGGTAGCTCTCGAAATAGACTACTCGATTTATCGATTTAAATATGAATGTTGTATAGCTATTTTTTAGTATATTTGTTATTAAAAATATACGAGTTGCGATATAAGATGATAATTAATGTATAAATAATGGTTAATTTTTTAATAATTTAGTCATATTATATCTAATTCATAATGGAAATTTGTATATATAAATAGAAAAAGTACTTCTTACGTATTTTACACATTTTGCAGTAGTGAATTGTATCATATATATATGTATATATAAAATGCATACATCAATACTTATAATATTTTAAAAAATTATCTTACCTTTTAAGAATCAAGAGAGTGATAATTGGATAAATATAAAATAAAATGACAGGGAAGAAATATAGTATTTACAGGAGTTTCATTTTACCGTGTGAAAATTATTAAATGTTCCTACTTTGGTATTTGAATGTACACGTATCGTATTTACGTGTGCTCTAAATCTTCCATTAAGGAAGTGAGAAACGTGTTGCCGTTGATTAATCTAGTAGTGCCCACGACAAATTCAACGTTTACTGAAATTAGATTTACATTTGATTACGTTTCTATGTTTATATCTAAACAAATAAATAAATTGTAATCGCACAAAATACTCACAGTCTTCTTGTTGCGATAGAAAGCGAAGAGCAGATATCTCTGCAAAAGTACATCCCCCGATAAAAAATACCATAATTAATTTTGGTGGTTCGGAGCTAGAATCTTCACTAGTAATAGAATTTCCTGGAATACAGATTTATTATATTTTGAAAATATATTTAAAAAAAAACAATATATAATTAGAATATTCATATAAAACTTACGTCTTACTAATGAAGATGCGTTATATGGAGCACTGCTTACAGTAGGACCTGGTAATAATCCCATCACATCGTTTAATCCTTGCCATCCATTTGGCTGTACTAGCTGTTCCGCCAGTCTCACGCTCAGAGGTGCATATATTGAATGTACGTAACTGATATCTTTTGGTGCTATTTCACTTTCGTCCTCGACTGTAAGTCTTAATGCTTTCCTCAAAACTGCGTATTGTCGTACTGACTGCTGCTGTTTTAGCAATCCTGCTTTTTCCAAATTTAATATAGTTGGCAAATTTTGGAACCCATAAGTATGAATTATTTCTCTCTTATAATAATCCAACAGTTTTGGCTTCAAACCGGAGTTTGTCAATGATTGAATGCAAAGAAGACGTAAAACTTTGAGTAACGGTTGTTGTTGCGCTATCATATCTTCAATGTATGCGTTTGGTTTGTCAGTGTCAATACAATTTAACAATTCTTGTTCAACTTGCAACGATTCTAAAAAGTTGCTCGAATCGGTAACTTCTTTTATCATTTCCGCGATTGTGGTATCTAATTAAAAAAGAAAATAAATATATTAAAACAAGATCACAAAAATGTGTATCAAGAAAATAGAAATGTTTTAAAAATGCCTGTATTACTTACGCCTTGCTAAAGATTGTTTTGTTGCTAACATGTGTGGTAATTTTGCGACAAATTGTTTGATTTCTTGTACACTCTTGTCTCCATGTCTTTCATCAAACTGAGATGAAATTACTTTAGCTTTCTTACTAAGAACTGGACCGACGCCATTAAAATTCTTATCTCTGCAAGAATAGAGAGTATAAAACTAGAAGAGTTACTATTTAGAAAAATAGATATAAAATTACATACCTAATCTCAGCAAAAAGTTCTTCTCCTGAATTCAATATAATTTGTTCCTTTTCATTTAGAGACATTGCTGTAGGAGAGTCCTCAGAATCATGAAACTTTTTTGCTGGTAATTGAACAGTATCTAAAATGAGGTAAAAAATATTAATATTTTATATAAAAAGCATTTATTAACAAAAGCACCGAAATTAAATAAATACTGTATTATAATTGCAAACACATAAAATTGATATGAGATTGATACTTTACTATATTTTATTCCAAATATTTCATCTATTAGACCTTCATAAGTCAATTGTGTAACTAGGGGTGAAAGTAAATCTACAGATCGATCCAATAGCAATAAATGTTCAATAGTAACGGATGAAGCAGAAAATGCTTTATTATCTTCTTCTTCTCTGGATAATCTCTCTAATAATTCCCAAACTTTACTAGCAGCTGGACCTCTGCCTGTCACTTTTGAGATTTTTCCATATAATTTCTGTAAACCTTGTATAGCTTGCGCAACTTGGTATAAACAAGTGGGATCATTTTCCAGGTGGAATTCTTTAAAGGATCCACTCAACTCCATCGATAGTAGATCATTATCAAATGGAAAAAGATCGCATTTAAATTCCTCTATTAATGTAAAGCTCCCAAAGACACCTCGATTTTGAAGCTTTTTTTGACAAAGTAAGCTTTTGCGTGGCACAAAGAATAAGTGAAATTCTTTACGTGGCCTTTTACCCTCTTCACTGTAATTAATGTTACAGCTAATTATTACAGTGTAATTAATAGTGTAATAAATTATTATAATAAAAAAAATACATATATAATTTGTACTAAAACTATAAAGATTAATAAAAATTATTGGTATTATTATACATGTATATATCAATTTTTATTTAATATTTATATAGATAATTCTGAAATATTGATATTGTCTTTAAATTTGTTAAAGCAGATATATTCTAACAATAACACTTACCCATGAACATTTTCAGCAATCAAGTCCATAAGTTCTAGTTGTGGTCTCGAGATAAATATAATGTTAACAATGTTAGGTGGAATTGTTAAAACTCCACCATACAACGGATACATCTTTACGACACCATATTCTTCCAGTAAATTATATTTCGCGACAAGACCAATTGGGCCAGCCAATGATTGATCCCATATAATAGCCTATACAAAAAGCAATTAAAAGCTAAATAATATATTAAATAAATACAAATGTTTGTAACTGACAGTTCTTTTTATCCTCGACGAAAGATTAAAGTTAGCATTATTCGGTACCTTTGGGCCATCACATTTTTCCAACAAGCAAAGCAATCGCTTTCTCGCTTGCTCCTGTATGAGCCTGACATTTAATCTGCCTCCTGTCAAATATGCCGATGACATAATTATATTATTTACAAAGTATTAGCTACGCGCGACATATCAGAAATCGTTCTGTACAGCTGACAACAGCTGATATTGACAGCAATCAGAGGGTAAGGTTACAAGATATTTTCGGATGTCTCGATTGGCTATCGGATAGAGAATTCCTAGAATCTATTCCTACAATAAACTCTAGAAATTCTCCAATCGATAGCCAATGATGTCGTCTGACATATCACGTTGCAAACGACTACAGCCAATCGTATCACTTAAGACAAATAACGATGACCAATCAGAGAATCTCTTGGCTATTTCATTGTCCAATCAAACGCCGCGATTCGATTTTATTTTTGCGCGTGTGCAGTGACGTAAGTTTATGCAATTGTTATTATTCAAAAGTGAACTCGAAGTTAACGTGTGCGTCTCGCGTAAATGTTGAATAATAGTTTATCGTAGTTGAATAATAGTTAAATCGTGCGTGATCGCTATCAGGATCGTTATCAGGAATGTTTAACATAAACGCGCGATTTTGACCGTTTCGATATTTCGAGAATCGTAGTTTCGCTGTTCGACATCGCAATGCATCGTGACGTCACAGGTCGCAGAATCGCATTCGAGAATATTTCGTCCCGCGTCGTTCGTAATCGTTATTAAAAGTGAATTCTCGCTCGTAAAAAGTTGCTTCTTCGTGTGTGTCCGAGATCCTGTTCGCATCCTGCGTTATTTTTCTCTCCGAAATGTATCGAAAGTACAACAGCTGCGTAATCATTGCCAGGTACGTATAAACATTTTCATTCTGCAATTAATTGTGTGATTACATTTCAATATTCGTTTCAAAAAGCATCTTGAGTTTTATTTTCAGCTCTGTCCGTTTTAATTGCATCTTTTGTACTTATTTTCTATGTCTTTTCTTGCATTTCAAGAATATGCGTATGTGTGTGCGTGCATATATTTGCATACGTTTCAAATTATTTAACATAATGGAAAAAGAATAGACTGAAATTGTAGACATGGCGTATGAGCTTAGTTGACTTTGTTCGACTATCGCGAGTCGCAGAGTCGCTTCGAGAATATTTTTTTCTGCATCTGTTGCATAATCGTGAAAAGTGAATTTTCGCGCATGAAAAGTTATCGCGAGTGTCTCAAAATATCGGATGTAATCGCGTTAAATACATGCATCGCGTAGAATCGTTATTGTAGACCGATATTTCGATTTCAGTGATTCTCATCGATGTGCTCGAAAGTCAATCGAGGTTCTCACTGTCCAGGACAACAGGTTCCCATTTTTCCACCAAGATGCAATGGACTGATTAAGAATTTCATCGAAGGTGCAATGGACGTTATGCAGTTATTATCAGGTATGTAATGCCAGGTATGTGCATTTTCATATATGCATATTTTTTCCACTTAATTGTATTAAATATATTGCTGCCATATTTGACAATTAATAGATATAAAATATGTTCGAATTTTGTAATATTTGCATTGATGAGATATTCTATTAAAAATAATAATAATTACAATATAAATATTTATTATATTCTTTATATATTAATATTATATTTTGTTACAAAAGAACCACAATATTATTTTTTGTCTTCTAAAGCTCTTAAAAATTAGATCAATGGTAAAAGTAAATAAATCTTTATTATGAAATATGAATATTTGAATATATATGAATATATATTTATATATATGAATATATGAATATATATGAATATATATGAATATATATTTATTATAAAATATGAATATATAATTATGAATATATAGGAATTTTTGATATTTTTATGAAAAGAGAATGTATATATAAACAAAAATTTAAATATATCAAATACTGAAAAATTTGCGCGAAAAGAAATTTTTTACTGCTAATTATTTTGTAATATAAATTTTTAAATTTAATATATATTAAAACTTTTATTTTTATAAATAAAATAAATTTATAAATTTAATAAATATTAAAACTCTTGTTTTTATAAACCACATTGACCATTGATAAATTAATTTTAATTCCTAAAGAAACGCATTATTATTTTTTCAACAATAGCGCATTGAAAAATAATTGTATTTTTATTGCTTTAATTTAAAAGTAATTCTCTAAATTTAGTTAAATTAAATATTTGTGGATTATTGAATATTTTTACAATACAAATCGACCAAAATAAATTTTTAAAAATGATATTTTTATAATAAAAAAGTAAATAATATTATACATAATAAATTATTGTAAAAGATATATTCATTCATAAAAATTTATATCATTTTATCGCATGTATCAATAATTACTTTTATATACAAAGAAATTTATATACATTTAGCATTTTATATCCAAATTCCGCTTATCTATTCCTCGACATATATGTATAATGCTAATGAATGCGATAAAATTATGCGTATAATTTATTATCATGTCTATTTACACACATGTATTTGATTCTTTATTATTATTAGCATATACTGGTGTTTTTTATATATTAATATATGCTGACATTTTTGGCTTTTCTCTTTCTTTTTTGGATCATACCGTACGATATGCCGAGAAGCATTATCAGTTTATTATATCAGGTCGAGTGCGCGTTCTGTGTCTGTAGCACAGTGTGTCAGTGTTCCGGAGACTGCGCAGCATCCCGCGGGGAAAAGCGGGAAGGGGTGAAAACGGATAGGGGAGGTAACTTCGGGTTTTTAATCCGTGGATGTAGAGAGTCATAGTGGGGGATGCATCCTCGCAGCCCTCTCTTCTCGTCGCACTCTTCTCGCCGATTCGATTCCATCCCCATCCGCGCTCTCCCGCCCCTTCCTCCCGGCTTTCCACTCCGCTCTTCTCTCCCCCCGATGCCCCACCATCGTCGTCAATCCTCCCGCTACGTCGTCCGTCGTCCCGAACGTCCTCTCTCTAACACCCTCCGTGTTTCTCGTCAGGCGGGGGTTGCTACCGGTCTCCTAGTGACTTTCGTCGTCGGGGATCGCGTGACACGTGCGTGAGAAAATACCGGTCCCGCGGTCCCGGTTTCGATCCCGAACGATATGACGACCAGGTGATTCCGCGTAGACATCGCCATCGGGTGAGATTGGCGAGAGATCGCCAGTCTGGTGACATAGTTGACAAATACACTGCAATCGTGAGATAACGAGAAATCGAAGATCGTGATACACTTGGTGATCCATCGTCATCGGCGGGCTTGATTGTCGCGACTGCGTCGACAGCTGTCGCAGGCTTTTTTGAGGAAGGCTTGAAGATCGGTGCGCGCATCTTGCTTGGGATTTCGTCGAAGGGAACGGCGGATCTCTTCGATGTCTCGTGGTATTCGTTAAGGATCGATCGAGTATCCTCAAATAATTGCTGAGTAGAGTCCGCTTTTTGGAGAGCCTTAATGTATAGGATTGTCTCCCGATATTTATCCTAACAAGTGCAAAACGGATCGAAGGTTCACGGGTAGCGCGACAGTCAATATTTGATAGAATAATATCGCTCTTGGTTTTTCGATTCTATTATTATAATCCATTCTTTCATAAGTATAACCAGCTTTGTCCTATTAAATCAGCCTCGCTAACGAGGGAAATATTCGCGTCTCTCTTCGTTCTTTACGAGCATGAATAACAACGTTTTTTAATGAAAAATTATGACAAAAATTGCGTAATTGAAATTTTCTCGCATTATATCATTATGGGTTTTACAACTATTATCGTAACGTTGATGTTGGTGAATAATCTTTGATATTTCAATTTCTCTCTCTTTCTCGCTCTCTCTCTCTCTCTCTTTTGTCTTTTATTCCACAGACATTTTACTTGACAATCTTCTTCGAACATATCTTCTATTCATTATTAATATTTAATTCGAATAAGGAACAATATAAAATGTTAATTATGTCTTCAATTCAGTGCAAGAATGAGGAATGACGTACGAAGATATGTTCGAGTTCAGTTTCGCGCAATGTCTTATAATTAATTCAAAGCGATTTCTCTAAAATAAATCTGCACAGTTCGATAGATTATAAAAAGCCTTAGATTTAGGAAGCAAAGCGATGTTATAATTGGATTTGGCTTCCAACAGCTCCCCCATTTTAAATTAATACAATATTAAAAGAAAAATATCATAATCGCGTAACACAACAAAGAAATTAGCGTGAGGAATTGGATCTTCTTTGTGAGAATGTGATCTCGAGAAAGAAAAGAAAAGGAAAGAAAAAGAAAAGCTGACAAGAGTCGGTTTGTAAGTTTTCTTGATAATAAAATTCATGCTGTTTCTTTCGCTTTTATACGAAACTCACGGAAGAAAAAATCTTTAGAATTGTTCTCATATTATTTAAGATAAATCTCACATTATATAGGACAAACTCGTCTTGTGTTTGGTGCATATATCAGCTTTAGTCTCGAATTCTACATTTTGATTGATATTGTCGAATTTATCAAGTATAACAATAATGTATTTAAAATCACACTTTCTTTAATTATTATTAATTAATTTTCTACAAAAATTTTAGCTACAATGTGTTTTGTTTTTTAAATAATTATGTTTAAATATGTGAAAACATATATTATCAGAGAATGAAAGCTACTAGTTTTAAATAGACAAGTGTGTCACAATATGAGAGATATGAAACACGATGCAAATATTAGAATTAATTTACTTTAATTTATTATTTGTATGTATTATTAATAATTTCACTTTTTTATATTATATTTTTTTTATATCCTTAATATTGTAATTTTATCTCCCTATTTTGATACTGTGTCATGCATAGTCCAAACTTTAAAGCGATGGCTTAAAGCGAAAAGTTCTTATCTTCTTTTCTTCGGACAGGTATCTTTTCTCGATAAAGCTCTTGCAAAGAGCTTTCTCGAACAGTTCTCTCTACCGCATTATACTTGATTCCGATTCCTTTCAGATGCTTTGTAATCATCGATTTGAGAGATCGATAACATCTTTCGATATCGCCTTTTCTGTTCCCTATTTCAAAGATACGAGAAAAGATAAGAGAAAGCAGTGATTGTGATTAATTTTTCTTCATTTGCCCTACAAATATGTTTGTAAAAAAAATAAAAAAGAATTAAAAGATGTGAGATATTTTAAAAACAAGAGTTCAACAAATTTATATGTAAAATATAATATAAGTATAATATAATGTGGTAGAAATAATTTTCGAAGAATTGTTTGATTGAATTAAATGGAGAAGATTTTGATTTGCGGAAAATTATATCTCTTTCTTCTTTATTAAATTAAATTAGAATTACGATATGTATATAATCAAAATTGTATACATTTCATACATAGTAGCAAATAAACTTTTCAGTAATTCCCTATCCAAAGAACTCAGAGTATTAAATTATATTTTTAAGTAATTACTACATTTCTATTTATCTGTCTGGTATTTATATCGAAATATTAACGCATTAATATATTTTTAATATTCAACATATTAATATATTTTAATAAAAATATATTATTATATTAAGAAAAATAATAATATATTTTTAATATATAACATTAATATATTTTTTAATATATTAGTATATTTCTCGGAAACAAAAATTGCTAGACCAACCCTAATCTCCTGAAAGATAATTCATTGCTAAACCACCCCTAACCCCTTGAGAGATAATTCATTTATTAAATTATATAGATTAATTAGAAAAGTAGAAAGATGTATACATTTTTGTTCATTTGTTGGTCTCGTGATAAAACTCTTGTGAGGCTCTTTAGAGGCAAGTAAATATTACAGCGGTGAAAATACGGGTATGTCGATTCGTGTGCAGAGTTTATGATAATATTTAATCCGGTTATAGCACAGTCGAGGCGAATATAGCGAGCGGAATATACTTGGGTACACCTCGCGATAGTCGGGTGGTCAGTCGATGATTCCGTTCCGCCCGTGTCGTTGTTGGCGATAATCCAGTTATAAACGAGTGGTTACGAATGTATTATACTCGACACGCCACGTCGCCAGCCCGTCAGCTGTGTGTTTCGACCGAGGTTTTTTTATTTTTTTCGCACTTCCATACCTCACTTTCCATACCGAGTGGTGAAGTACTGAGTTTGTGATGCGCGCGTTAATCATCCCCGCGAACAATACCGCGAGATTTTGTCGCCTGGATTAACATCGCACACGTCGCACGTCGTCGTTTTAATGCGATTGTCTCGACGGTCAGCCACATTCGTCGTTGTCATCGTCGTCGTTGTCGACATGTCGTCCATTCATCTATATCGTACGGCGATGTCATTCATCATCGGCGACTTCTTCCGCTAACGCCATCCCTGGTTACCCGGGGATCGTCGTCTCTCGCGATCGTAACGTCACGTATCCCATGAGAGCCAGAAGACGAGCACGGGCCTCGTTTATTCACGTGATCGAGCATTGGTTGCACTCGTCGGATGCACTCGTCAAAGTGTCGCGCTTGTGTCATGTATCACGCTGGTCTGGAGAGATTGTACGTTGAAACATCAGAGTCAAGCTGTTGCTTTCGTTTGCATTCAAGTGATCATTTTCTTGATTAAGGAATTCAATTTTCTATCGAACACTTCAAAGATATTGTTCTAATTACGCGTACACGTTTGTGTCGCATCTGTAAACGTTCAAAGATTATAGATTGCGTGCGTATATATTGCATATTGTAAATACACACACATGTAAATTGATATTCAAATTCTCATCTTAATTTTTCTTTTTATATCAAGTTGACCGTTTCTTTTCGTGATATTATCATGCTCGAAATATGCTAAGAATATAAAGCTGTTACTCATCGCGTGCACTTGGAAGATCACAGGTCGTGCATTTATATCATAAGTTTCTTATAAATTGTAAAGTTCTGCAGATTCAAAGCTGCTGTATTACAAGCTCTTTACACGAAATTACCTTATCGTCGCTCTTGTTCTGAGATTATATACAGTAATATCGTATACGGTAATGATCAGAGATATGATGTTTTATCAAACATTACATTCTACAAGCATTCAAGATCCTCGTGATCCCCATAGTTATCTAAAGTTACGAGTACGTTAAAACTTTATTAATTGCAAACACAAAAAGAAAGAGAGAGAGAAAGCGAGTTCTTTTCGAACATCTCGCAGTGATATCGCAGAATTCGGAAAATGCTGCTTCACGATGGGATTTTTAATTTTCTTTCTACTTAAAGCTTGGACATCGAAGTGATTCGCGACAGGGACAATAAACCCGCGTTTTATTTGAATTGAAGAATTAAAAGGATCTTCGAACGATATACAACGACAATTAAAACGCGAGACAGTCTGGTTTCTCCCTTGAAACGTCGTCTATAAAATCGAAACGCGAGGGAGAAAGGAGGAAAGCTGCGAACTACGAGGGATCGAACGTAAAGGGGAGAGGACGTATGAGAAATTCAAATATCGTCTCGATCGATCGGGGTGTCTTGCAGCTTCCCTTCGAGCTCTCCCGAGCGATCAACACTGTGCATACAAGCATTACAGATTGTGTAAGCCCGACATTTACGAAGACTTATAGAATCGCGATGTATAAGTGGCGAAAAACGGTAAACGTTAACGCGACCGTTCCTTCCTCTACCTCGATGAACTGAACGCGTCTTAAGCGGCAATCAAGGTGGGTTAAATCGTAACCGTGTTACACGTGTTCGAGTTATTCGCTGCTTGTGATCGACGCAAAGTGAATCGACGTGGTATCCAAGGATGGAGAGAAATCGGAGGAGTAAGGGCTCTCATAAGCGTGGAAGGACAGGATTCGCGTCTCGATGTGTTTCCTCTTGAGGCTTGCGGCTTACACGTGTCGCCGATTAATCGAACGCGCTCCTTAGATCTACACATCTATTGATCGCGAATTAGCAAACAAAACGTCGTGATGTTTGCCCCGCAGACGTGCATAATGCAAGTTTGCAGATCGACGTGAGCGCAAGAATACACGGAGCAGCTGTATCTCGCGCAACGTTTTTCCATTCTCTTCGAAAATTCTGAAAATCCTTATTGGACGGATCGCATTTACGTAAACGGATTTACGTAAACAACAGCGTACATTGAATCGCGAATATTTCGGAAAGCACGGAGGAAGAAAAGATCGAAGAGGACATTTTACGGAAACGATAGTCTCGCATTAAAGGAACTTTCAAGTCACCCTGCAAGAGCTATCGATTTGGAATTATCGAGGATTAAACTAAACATCAAAAGTACGTATCGAAAATCGTAAAATATCATACAAAAGGAAAGAAAAATTTTCTCTCAGATTTTATCCAATCGAGTATGTCTTAACTTTTAATCGAGTATCCGGTCGAGTAATCTGGAATGTTGTAGAAAATCCCGTAAGGTAGAATCTGCTATAAGAAATAGAAAGCTAATATATCAAAGTTGAATTAGAAGATTGAAGATCTTTATCAAGGGAGATTGGGACGAAACGAAAGGGAGAATCGCGATCGATCGAAAATCAGTCAAACGGCGAAAGGATTTGCGGGATTACGGTGGTCATAATTGACGGGATTAATCGAGATTTAAAACGCCGCAAAACGAGCCAGCTACGGTGTGTCGAGAGACATTGAGCGAGGGGAACCCGAAAGGACCATCAATCGAAAAAGGAGGAAAAACGGAAAGTCACGTACTCTTGTATTTTTACTCTCGTGGGAAATCAAAGACTGTAGACAAGCGAGACTATCGAGCACCCGAATAGCGAGACACTGTTGTCGTTCTTTATCACGGTGACAGCCAGATTGATAACGAGTCGATCGTCACCCACGCAAGGCATACGAGGCGCATCGTAGCGCAACTTCTTCAAAGTGATTCATCGAGGGCACTTCTCCCCTTCTTCCTCTTGATGATCGTTTTAACCGCATGCCGGAAAATTATCTCGAAATTTCATGGCGTGCTGCTCCGCATCGTACACGCCTGATCGAAAATTGCGGCTCAACCGTTATGCAAATGAACGAGAAAAAATGCAAAGTTCCTCACTTCCGAAAATATAAGATCGTATAAAATAGCGTCGTAAAAGTTCGAGTTACGATACGACGCGAGATAATCCGAAAAGATTGAGAATAAAGAAATCGAGTATCGGATTCGGAAAGAACGGACGGAAGCGAAATATTGACAACATCGCGGGGATTATCTGGTAGAAAAATTTGGCAGTCTTTCTCTCCGCTTTCCTCCCTCGGCAACTTTCGACGCGGTAATCTATCCGCGCGCTGCCCTTTACGGTGGCTTAAGGATATCACGAGGGATCCAGGATGCGTTTTAGCCTCTCCCACAAAGTTGTCGGGAGTATCAGACCTTTTATCGGGAACAGGGAGAAATGAAGTTATCAGTGTCGGCTTACACAGCTCAGGCCAGTGCTCACAAAAATCTCTGCAGTTATCAGCATCAGCGAAGCTACGGGGCCACAAATCAAGCATCCACGGCCCGGACCCCCTCAGACCTCGCGACGGTCCTTCCTGCCCTCAAGGTATATTAGGTTGTACGTTATGGTTATCTTTCATTGTGTTCAGAGTACTTTTCAACTATTACGAGACGTTACAATGATTGCTAATTTGAGGTAATAACATTTTTTAATCTCTCTTTTTTTTTAGATTTATTAAAAACTTGCAAATATGTTTAATTTTTCCACGTGATATTTTTCAACTAGGGATATTTTTAAATCAATTTCAAGTCTATTTTTTTTGTTTCTAATGTCATCTGTAATAACTGAGCGAAGGGTGAAGTAGGTGGTGAAACGAAGCCTTACTATGATTGTATGTTACATTTCTCTATTCTTCCGTTAATATAGGCCGTGATGTACGTACGTTGAGTGAGAACAGCGCCTGAAGCTTGAGGTTAAATACAGGGTGTTCAAAAACTATTGGATACTTTTTCTTTACTATATTTCTTGTTTTAAGATAATTTGTTTAAATAAAAATATTAAAGAATATCATCATTTATCGTACATTCGATTTTTAATATATTCTTTATTGTTTTTATGATTAAGCTTTGAATTAAATTTTTATTGAAATCCATTTGAAATTTACTAAAAGTAATATTTTATCACTTATTTTCTCCCTTCTGCAGTTTAATCCACTAAAACCTTTTTATTTTTGATTATTAGTTATCCGAAAATAGTAGATGTCGCGATATTCTTGTTCAAGAAGAATCGATTTCAACTTGTCGAAGAATATACAGTTAAAAGGGCATCCGATGATTTTTTAGAAGCATTCTTTAATGGCATGATTTTTAATAATTCCACTAATTAATTAATTTTTAATAATTAATAATGAGGCACGATTTTTAATAATTCTATGATATCCTATATAATGTTCGTATGCACTTTTACTCAAAATACAATTTATAGAGTTTATTCTACTTGCGGAGAATTAATGGAATATTAGATACATAACATTATAGTAGATTTAATCTCTAGTTACCTACTCAAATTTAATGAACTCGAATATAACAGGAAATTTAATTGTCAATTAATACTAATTGTTGTTAGAGTAACAGGATATTTCGCGATTGACGGATGATTAGATTTAATTGCTAATTGACAGAGTTGGTTTTAATTAAAAGATATATTTAATTTGGACGGTGTTATGCAAAAATGTGTTAACTAAAATAATTGTGAATAAATTAAGTTGTTTAGGTATGTTGTTAGAAAATAAATAATGATTATTTTTTAAACAGTTTCTCACAGTATCGAAGTTCTAGATTATCTCTATACAATACTTATATTTTATATTTTATGAAATATTAATATATATTTCATAAATAAAATCTAGAAATTACTGCTTTTTGCATAACATCATTTTAAAGATTTCTTGTTTAAAAGAATTTTAATTTATATTTCTCTGTTTTTCTCTTTGAATATTCGCGAGGAGAGAAAGATGTATTGTATCAGATACATTATTGAAGAATTTACAAGAGAATTTTATAAAAAATCTAAGAAGAGTTATGCAAGAATTTACTGCACAAAACATTAATAAAACAAAATATTTATTCTGTAAATACACGTAATAAATATTCTACAAATAATAAATATAAAAATAAAGATATGAGATATAATTGAAAATAAAATAAAATTTAAAATACACATTCTCTCTCTATCTCTCTCTCTCCCATGACAAATGTTATTTTTAGAAAAAAAAAAATATATATAGTGATTTTTTGCATAAAATATTTTTACGCTAAATAATTTGTTTGTTGCACGTGATTTGGCATTTTTTAGATGACATTGCTGAATCTAAAATTATCTTTTCAAAATTTTATGCTATGAGCTCAATTCTATTTATGCATATAATTTATTTTCTGTTAAAAATTTCTCAAATTTAACTCATTTATCTGCATAACACCGTCCATTTTAGGGTTCTCAAAATTTGGTATAAATTATATTGTTTCTTCTGTGTGAATGCAGCTCTGAATGTCGCAACGTAGGGACGAGAACGCGCGATCGAAAAAACAGCGCAGTAGAAAATGTCGAAAAGACAGCCGGTGGTTCGTATATCGCTTCCCGTAAGTGTGTCATCATTGGTATTATTTCTTCTTTGAATACAGGAGAATTATAAAATGCTTGAAAAGTATTTATATATATATATATATACGTATCCATTCGATTTTCCGCTCCAAATTCAATTTGATATTATCGCACGAACGTCCAGTATTCTATTATAATATTAATATCCAGTATTCTACAGCAGTCTATTTTATCATACCAGTTGTCATTTTGCCCTCTTTTTCTAGCTCTATAAAGCTCATTTTAAACGATTCATAATTTTGCGAGTAGAATATTATCCTAAATGTATTCCGTTCTGAATTTTGCATCGTTTAATATGGGCCTGAAACTTGCGTAGAACTTGCATCTTGAAAATTTACCTGAGTCTGCCATCGTTTTAACATTTTATATAACATGAATTTACAAGAGTTGCTGCTCTTTCCATCGGCCTGTTTGCTTGGTTTTCCCTCTCTATATAGTACTGTTTACTTAGAAATCCTCTTCTATTTTTTATACCTGATTCTCTTGTTGTCTCATTTCTTACGATAGTTGCTGTAAATAGCATAAAATATTGCATTATGTCTTAGTAAGGATACAAAGAATCGTCCATTTCCTCGTCGAGTATTACCCATTCTAGTATTAATTTTCAGAGGTTTAAAATGTACTTTTTATCTTTAGCAATAATTTATTAAAGCAGCATTTTTAAATATGTGTTTATTGGAACTTTTTGATTAGTTATAAGATTTAAATTTATTCGGTATATTTCTCAGACTAGTGCGCTTTTATGCACTATATTCCGTAAATACGAGATGCAATTACGTCTATACAGGTACGGCTAATATCGCTAGAATATTCACCGTTGCATGGTTTGACGCGCAACATGACTTGGGATGCCGTGGTGCAATATTATTTCGAAATAGGAAGCTGTTATATTAGGTATATTTATCTAGCAAGATAACAAACATCTCTCATTAATGAATGTGTGCAAATATATATCAATCCCATAAAAGATGCGCGTGCAATCTATTCATATATAAAATAAGCGAGAAATATATGTGTGTTTCAATGACTTCATCAAGAATATTATCTCAAAATAAGATTTTGTATAAATAGAATGCAAAATCGCGACAGAGAACTTACATATTTGTCACAGCGTATTTATTGTCTTCTTATTTCGACTTTACCATATTTCAAGATAATCGAAATTCGAAAACAACAATAAGTCCTATAACTTTCAAGATACGATTCACGATATGATGCCATTGGGAAACTTCGATGCTTCTTTTTCGTTGTAAAAAGTATAATCGAAAATGCACTTTTCAATTTACTCTGGTAATAATGGTTACGTTGTGCTACTCGATACAACGATTCTCATCAGTTTTACATTGCTTCAACTCGCGAGTTAAAAAGAATAAAAAGAATTTTATTATTTTATAATAAAATGGAAAGATAACAATTGTAAAATTTGCAGAATTTTTATCGTTACATGTAACTTTTGGTACATTCCCTCTATTGATTTATTTATTTAAATTTTTCTTATCAAGGAATTGTTATCAAAAACAAAAGTAAAACAGTCTTTTTAATAATAATAGAATAAACTTTTCTAATAATTAATTATTTATGTATATCGTATTAAATCATATTACGAGATGCGGATTAATTATATTTTGGAATCAATATCTACAGATTCTAATTAAAGATCAATTATACGCTGAGAAGGAAAGTTTTAACGAGCTCGAATCTCCACCTCTAATGAACATAAAAACCTTCCATCTTGCTCTTAAGAAAAAAGTGACATCTTGACATATCGTCATAACGTCTCAGCGGTAGTGAACAATAATTGTGCTACTCGCTACGATCTCGTCCAAACATGTCAAATGCAGCTGCACAAACATGATCAGGTATAGAAAAATATATGGCACGTGAAACATGTGTTTAGCCTCTTAAAAATCGAATCGATCGACGAGCGAGTATATTCTATCGTGACATGAAATTTATGCGCGACCTAAGAGGACAAAAATATTCGTACTTGAATAAACTTTTATAAAAATTTCAATAAAAATGCATTATATTGTCAATCTATGCGCGCGAGAAATTTTTTATGTTATTTTTCGTTTTAACGTCGTTTGTCCACTTGCGTGTTCTATATTTCCATCGGGATATATTTAAGCGGGTTCGTAGTATGTAGTCGAAACCGGAAATACACAAGCAGCCAATAATCCGATAAAGAAATCGGCAGACATTGCGCCTGAATTAGCGCTGATAATCGATAGCGCGTGTTACATATGAGTGTGCGGTTGATTCAATTGGCAACGTGGATATCGAGCATAAATATCGGAATATTTTAGCGGATGGTCGGGAAGCGTAAATTAGTGACCTATCTACTAATTTATCTTATCTGTCCTTCTCTCGTGCCGCTCACTCTTTAACTTCTCTCCCATAAAATACACGCTTTCCAGAAATAAAGGCATCGCGCGCGCGCGGTTCGCGCGCAGCGCACCCCAATTACTGCTGATTGCCCTTCGAACGTTCACGCACAAAGTGCTCCTGCGGGACGACCGCTGCGAGAGATCGGAACAAGCGGTTAGGTCGCGTGACACGAACGATACCACTTTAATTACGCGTATATACGTTACCGGAACCGGAACACGCGCGCCCGCAACTCGGGACATTGCGTTTAATGCACCGGCGGTGTCCTCTCATTTGACGGGAGCTCGCCTCTTGCACGTAGAATGAGAAATTAACTATCTCTAAGTGTGCATAAAAACAAATATACATATATGCATGCAGTCAAATAGAGATAACTGTATATATTATGATTTTTCAAAATTCCCTTGTGACACGCACTTATGAGACATTTAATAAGTGTATACAATTTTGTATGTACTTAACAAAATTTAATAAATGTATAAAAAAATTCATTTAAAAGATGATAGAGAAATTTCTCTATCACCTTTCAATTGATTTTTTTTTCAATATTGCAAAAATTTGGAGCTATATATTTTAACATTCTGCATCAGAAAATAGGGTTGTTGTTTTAAAAGAGTTTAAATGTTTTAAATAACTGTTGTTTTAAAGGAGATAATTAATCGTTATTCAAGCCAAACCAACTCCAAGTTTATTATTCAAAATTATCGGTGCGGTTTATTCTGTTTTGGATAAAAGTATCACAATTCCTTTGTAACACGCACTTTTCACTCGTAAGACATTTAATAAATGTATGTAAAAAATGTATACAATTTTTGTATGACTTAATAAAATTTAATAAATGTATAAAAAATTCAATTAAAAGATAGAGAAATTTCTCTTTGAATTGAATTTTTTTTCAATATTGTAAAAATTGCAAAAATTTGCAGCTCTATATTTTAACATTCTGCATCAGAAAATAGGACTGTTATTTTAAAGGAGATAATTAATCGTTATTCAAGCCAAACCAACTCCAAGTTTATTATTCAAAATTATCGATGCGATTTATTCTGTTTTGGATAAAAGTATCACAATTCCCTTGTAACACACACTTTTTACTTGTAAGACATTTAATAAATGTATGTGAGAAATGCATAAAATTTTTGTACGACTTAATAAAATTTAATATATGTTAAAAAAATTCAATTAAAAGATGATAGAAAAATTTCTCTATCATTTTTTAATTGAATTTTTTTTCAGTATGATAAAAATTTGGAGCTATATATTTTAACAGAAAATGCACCAGAAAATACGATTGTTGTTTTAAAGGAGATATTAATCGTTATTCAAGCCAAACCAACTCCAAGTTTATTATTCAAAATTATCGGTGCGATTTATTCTGTTTTGGATAAAAGTATCACAATTCCTTTGTAACACGCACTTTTCACTCGTAAGACATTTAATAAATGTATGTAAAAAATGTATACAATTTTTGTATGAAATAAAATTTAATAAATGTATAAAAAATTCAATTAAAAGATAGAGAAATTTCTCTTTGAATTGAATTTTTTTTCAATATTGTAAAAATTGCAAAAATTTGGAGCTATATATTTTAACATTCTGCATCAGAAAATAGAGTTGTTGTTTTAAAAGAGATAATTAATCGTTATCTAAGCCAAACCAACTTCAAATTTATTATTCAGGATTATCGGTGTGGTTTATTCTGTTTTAGATAAAAGTATCACAATAGGGATTATTAATTATTTCTTTCCCCATCTATGTTACGCGAGCGACTATAATCCGGATGATGATGGCTCTAATTCAGAGTTTAGTTTACTTTAGAGTTAAATTATACCTAACTTTATTCAGAGAATATTAACGCGACTTTGACACGTAATTAATTTCAAGGAATTTGAGATAATTTCCATGTGAATTCGGCAGATGTGAATTTCATAACTTTTGCAACAATTAATAAATCATTACTGCATCAATCCATGAAAAGATCCACTTTAAATTTTCGAATAATGTAAGAAAGATATGATATAAATATGAATGTGTCTGCGTATGAATGAAACGAAGGAAAGACTTATTAGTTCGATTCAAGCTTATAATACATCGTAGAAAATGCATTTTTCATACTCCCTCTATAAACGTTACAAAAGTACAAAGAATGCATTCTACGTATGCATACTAAGAAATGTGCAATATTTTCTTTATTATTTGAGAAACAATGCAATCGTAGCTATTGTGCAAGAAATAAAATTGCATGATTCTCTTTATAAAATAAAGCTGATGAATGAATCGAGTTACAAAATAATGTTGGCTTTATAAAACTGAGATTACATGGATTGATGAAAAGCGTATACGTTTTTTTTTTAAAAACGATATTGATTTCTTTCCCTCGTTTAATGTATGTTAAAAATTTTTCATCAAAAGCAATATCATCCTTTCATCATCTCTCGTCTGCGTCTACAATGTATTCGCGGGGGTTTCGTGAAAGTTCTAATTAAAGAGATTCTCGTGTTTTTAATACGATTTGATAGACGTCTCTCATTCGCGAAAGCAATTTCGTCAAATATCGAACAAGTTTCGGTCGATTGATTCGTCGAGGGTG